ATTTGAAGATGGACTTCATGATGTTGAGCCTTCCCTTGGCATATCCCAACAGGAACCCAGACCCTAGGCATCCCTGATTTTAGACTTGCTAATTTAGGTGTCTCTAAGGAAGCAAATTTCTCTATAATTATCAGGATTTCAAATTTAACATTTTCAAAAAAAAAGCTTTTAACAGATAAAGACCCCACTAAAACAGGCTCTGGGGGCCTCCCTGGTGGTGCAACGGATTATTAACAGCACTGCAAAGCTAGCTGCAGCTGCTTTAGCACGAGTTTGATCCCTGGCCAGGAAGGTGACCCACATGGTGCAGCAGGCCTCTCCTGTCTCACCTGCTGCTCCCCTCAGCAGTGTACTTCATTGATCTACCTGCTCTGCTCCCCACTAGTGAATCCTCTCACCACCCTTGTACCTCTGGCCTGTATTCTGGTTCTGTATACATAAATAAATAAATCTTAAAAAAAAAAAAAACAGGCTCTGATAATTAAGAGAAAATGTACAGCTTTTCAGGTGCCCTCTAGAGCAAGTGTGTGAAACAGAAGTTGGGGGTTGTCATTGCAGCCAAATGACTGATACACGAGGAGGTATGCTCCTCTCCATGTCTTTCCATACTGTTTGATGATCTTAAATTGTAGCATATGTTAGAAAAATATTAATCCCATGAAATAAATGAACTCAAGTTTCTGAGTTTCCAACCTCTCTAAAAGATGGGACATGGTATTACTTCTCTTATATGTATATGTATGTGTATATATGTTAATACACATGTGCATGCATGCATACATGTACACACATATTCTAAGGCCCAAACTACTTATCACTTTTGCAATTCCTTATGATTCTAAACTTTTAGGGTATTTCATAATTATAAATCCAACTAGAATTAGAGCTCAGAAAGAGCATCACTTCATTGCTTGCCTACCTTTAGGTTGGTCTCCAACAGACCATTCTAAATAGCTCTTTGAAAAAGAGTTTGGTAGGTCTGTTAGCTGGATAAAAAAATTTCTTTTTATCCAGCTGACCTCAAGTTCACCTGGTCACTACTTACCTGGCCACCCCACGTCACCCCACATCTGTACCTGTGCAGACTACCTGCTCAGAGGTAGCCAGAGTGCACACTTTCCTGGGAAGGGCCTCCATTGTATCTGCTTGCTATAGGGCAACCTCTTGTTTTTAGACTTATAAACAAAGCAAAATCAAAACAATAAGCGCCACGAGCTCATTTTAGGTTTGATGGCCCTGTCTGGGAGCTGCAACAACAGTGCCGTCAAGCTGTCACCGTTCTATAGCACTTGCCCCCAAATGCCATCCAGGTCTGCACCTGCGAAACCAGGACGGGCATTGTGAGTCACTCTGCCTGCCACCAAATAAAAAGCTAATTTCACATTCAGAATGTATGTTTTTTTTTAATACCAATAGCAACAAGAGTGTGCCAAAAATTTCCCCCTGAAGCTCTATTCTGTTTTTTAAACTACAGAACATTCTTTCATAGTTTGACAGTTAAAATGCTGCAGTTAATGTAATAAACAGAGAATTTTTCTAAGTAGACTGTCAAAACAAGTGACACTTTTTTTTTTTTGCTAGCAAGTCTCAGATTCAGAACAATAGGAAGTACCTTTCAAAGCAACATCTTCATTATACAATCAAATTCTCAAAGTAATCTTCTCATCAAAGAATATTGTGTTATTTCTTTCCCAGTAATTATCAGAGTTCTGCAACCTCTCTGGCAATGGTGATTATTATAAAATGCAGCTGTGCTGAGTTTAAAAATTGGGGTTCCTGCCCCGGTCAATATGGAGCCAGTGCATCTCATGCCTCCCCATTTTTTAATGAATTGGCAGTCTGGGTAGTAAAAAGTCAACATTTCCAGGACTTTTGAATATGCCCTCAAGTTCTCAGGAGCAAAGCACTCAGCTGGTCTCTTCAAGGAGAACAGTGATATTCACAATTCTTGATCAGCTAAGCTTATTTTCTTTCCACTTAGTAGGAACTCCAAAGGATATACACAAAAGTGTGTGTGCGTGGATAGCTTGAAACTCTGACTCATAGAATCAGATACCTTATCTTTCACTTTCCCATCTCTGGGGGGCTGTCATTCCAGGAGAAGACCTGTGAATACTGAGTCAAAAGAACTGTGGCCCCCAAGGGCCAGTGTTTGCAGATTCATAAAACCTGGGAGATGGGGACAATTCCAAGAGCACCCAAAATGATGTATATTGGAATACTGGTGAAACCTGTTCTTTAATGGCCAGTGACAGACTGGAAAAGTCTGGTCTTTGTAATGTAATTTTCTTCGAAGAATCTTTGGGCTTCTAAAGATCAAGCGATTCAATGCTATATGGAAGAAAAAGCAGCAGAATCTCAGATTCCATTTCTAAGGGTAACCAAAAAAAACAAAACAAAACAAAACAAAACAAAAAAAACGCAGGTCTTAGGCTTCTGTGAGAATTAATCGAGTAAGGAGCACAAATACTCCCAGCCAGGGCTTGGTCCAGAGCAGGTACTCAATACAAGTCTGCTATATCTCAATCTGATTTGGAATGCCTGTCTCACTGGGTTATAAACTCCTAAAGTCAGTAACCATGTTATCACTTTCTTACTACCAAAAACCTCTTTGGCAGATGGTCAAAAATCTTTGTGGGTCCAAAATCTTTGTGTGTGTCTTTCTTGAAGCAACTAAATTGAAGGAACATTAGCTGGGACTGAATATTCATTTTTTCATTCCCTTAGCAAAAGTTTATTAATGGTCTATTTGGTATGATGCTTGGAGCTAGAGATGGCCTTCTTTAACTTCCACCCAGACTGAAGCCCCCTCTCCACATTATATCCAGGACTGTCTCCTCCACTAGACAGGAAGGAGGTGCAAATTTCAAGCTCACTGCTGCACTCTTAACAAATACCAATATTTAGAACAAAATAGGTATTCAAAAAGTATCAGTTAGGGCCCTCCCTGGTGGTGCAGTGGGTTAAAGCACAGCACTGCAAGCTAGCTGCAGCTACTTTAGTGTGAGTTTGATCCCCTGCCCTGGAGGTGACCCACATGTCTCCGCAGACCTCTGCTGTCTCGCCTGCTGCTCCCCTCAGCAGTGTGCTTCATCGATCTGCCTGTTCTGCTCCCACACTTTGTCTCTCGTGAATCCTCTCACCGTCCCTGCTCCTCTGGCCTGTACTCAGTTCTGTATGCACAAATAAATAAATCTTTAAAACAAAGCCCCAAAAATTGGTTAAATAAATAAATGACTAAAAACAAAGTAAAATGAAATGTCTTTCCCTTTAAGCAACTCATAGCATACAGCAATGTTTCTTAGCAGGGGCAGTCTTTTCAGGACAGCTCCTTAGTTTATAGGGTTCTAGATTTTGGGGTGTTTAACGTCCCTGGATTCCAGCCACTGCCAAATGCTGTCAGTGTGGCTCCTCACACACCATGAGAACCCAACATTCTCACACATTCCCGAAGGCCCCTTGGGGCTTCCTCACCTTTGACAACAGAACTACTGTGTAAGTGTGTGCTTGAATGAAGAAGGCAGCGAAGGGGAAAGAGAGGGAATCCAGGAAATAATGAGGCAAATATAGATAATGGACGATGGGACAAAGGGGTGAAGAGAGCCGGGAAGCACTCTGACAGAAGAGAAGGCGTAGTTCCGAGTAGTGATTTCATTTGAGTTCCCCAAGCTCAAGGGCTCTTCCTGTATCCCCTCTACCCACTTCTACAATCTTTCAGGGCAAAGAGATCATGAATTGGTTTTTCTGTTTGACATTTTGTATTTACCAGTAGAAGTTTTGTTTGAAGAAACAGTTGTGAGCCTACAAAAAGCTGAAAGCTGTGGCTTAGATTTTAAGACTGATAATCAACTGGAATGAGGGAGGCCTTTGAAACACATGGTGTTGGGACATGAAGACCCAAGAGACACCTTAGACAAAGAGGACATGGTGTGACAAGAATGAAGTACGTTGAAGGGCTTTACCAGCACTGGACTAAAGCCCGTGGAACAGGGGATACCTTGGGGAAAGGAATGAAGGAGTGTTCAGAGGGCTACGTGAGTGGGTATGAGTGGCAGGCATGGGGGAAGTCGTTCTGAAGGACACCTCGCTCTTGGAATATGCCCAGCTGACACACAGACGTGTAAAGTTGAATGCTCTTGTTGAGACCCACCAATAAATGGAGGTCTGCCAAGCCAGTGACTCAGAGTAGACAGCCACAGCTGGCTGGCACTGGTGCAGGGCGGAGGGCGATGTCATTTCTAGCAGAAAAACATAAGCCTGTATGGTGGTTTCAGAACCAAGTGCCAAGTCATTCCTTATTAAAAAGGCTTGAGATTAGACTGTTCTATAATGTCTTATAGCAATTTAGTAGAGTACACTGAACAGAAGAGGGGCTCAATAAATTCTTTCTGAATTGATCTGATTAAATTGATTCTGCAATTCCACTAATGGGCTGTGACAGAAGATTGGGTTGGATTCAGCTGAGAGGGAGGGAAAAGGGCACCTCATGGGCTGAATGGAGGTGTTAAGGGGTGACGGCACAGTGTCTTTGAGCTAATGTGCAGAGGGCTCAGAATAGGGTGAAAGGTCATGCTGAATGAATGAATGAATGGAAGAACGAATGAATACAAGCACAGGGTCTAGGCTTCTACAGACTACTGACATATTGCATTACAAAGAAAAGGCAGGTGTGGTCTGGCAGAGAATCAGCATTTTCTGTTTGTCATTGACCAAAGGTTATTTCATACATGGACTCAGTTTTGACATCTCAAGCCAACTGCTAAAAGACTCCATAGTTTCAGCTCATGCACACGGGAAATGGAATCTTCTGGCTCAAAAATAAAATACAATAAAGTAAAAAAGACACAAACACTGCTGTGCCACTTCTTCAGGGTCACTCTCTCCACTTGCCTGGGGTGAAGGCCGGGGGTTCTGGAGTCAGCATCACTTGGGTCTCCCAGGACAGACTTGGTGCCCAGTGATGGGGTCGGGGTGGGGGGTGTCCCTATCCCATTACTCACGGTTTTCGGAGGATCATCCTCATGTGGGCATCGGGACCCATCTGCGACAGCAGCAGCATGGTATCCTGGAGCTCCTCGTCACATTCTTTTTTCTCCTCCTCAGTAGGCAAAGGGGCATCTTCATGCTCGTCATCCAGAAATCGATAAAATAAATATTTGTCTTGGAAATGGTGCTCCTGGTCCACTGCAGGAAACATGGAGGTGAATGTCAGCCACAGCACCTCTGCCTCTCAGCCCTGGCCAGTAGAAGCCCGTAAGTGGCCGGTGCTCGTCAGAGAGCCAAGTGGCAGCACAGCAGTGAGCCTCCTCACCCTGCTCAGCCAGCTGGCCCCGGGCCGTGCAGCTGGAAGACATGACCTCCCCAGCAGCCACCGCCCGCCCACCTCCTGGGCTGCCCTCTTAAGGAGACCTGCCAACTTTTCTGAGATGAGCACTTTGACCAGCAGAAATTGTTTGGGTGACATTTTCTAGGCTGTGGTACCTATGTCGCAAAAAGGAAAATAACCAACTCCCAGATCATGCTTTATACTGGCTTTGAAGTACAGGCTCAGAAAAAAAGCCAAGTTTGTCAGAATCAGAATTCATGGTTTATTTTCAATGTGTAGCACTTATAAAAGTGCACTTAAAAAAATTGTTTGAACAGGGGCTCTCCCTGATGGCGCAACGTGCTAGAGTACTACATTATGAAGCTCTCTGAGTTAGATTCCTGGCTAGGGAGGTGACCCACATGGTGTGGCAGACCTCTCCTGACCCGCTGCTCCCCTCAGCCGTGTATTTCAGTCCATCTGCCTGTTCTGCTCCCCACTCTGTCTCTGGTGAATCCTCTCACCCACCACACCTCTGGCCTATACGCCAGTTCTGTAAGCATAAATAAATAAATCTTTAAAAGAAATTGTTTGAACAATGCTGATCAGACCAAGCTTCTAGATCACAGGCTCTTAGGTCTTGTAATGATTTCCTTCTGATGCTGATTTTACAAAGTTTTTTTCCTGTTAAGCACAGGATCTTGGTAGGACAAGATCACTGACTTCTGTTCAGAATCTCTCACCTGTGTGTCTTTAGGCTTTTAAGCCCTCTTCAGGCTGGAGCAATAACACTATCAGGAGGCAAAGAGAAGTGGTGTGTCCTTGCTTCAAATGTGACGTTGGCACCGTAGTACCAGCAATGTCTGGGAGCTAAGGGGACATGTAGACTGTCAGGGCCCGTCCCAGAGCTGCTCAGTCAGAATCTGCGCATTAACAACAGGCCCCTTTTATGGACTCTGAAGTCTGGAAATACTGGTAAAACTGTCGCTGGAGTTTCAGGTGTTGCTCAATTAAATAATCACTTAACTAGTTTGCCAGTTTGGAAAACGGTCTTAAGCAAATGGTACGAGCAGTTCAACCACAGTTGCACTCCTGTCCTGAATGACTTCTCTGCTCAGTTATATAGCCCCTGCGAAATGGTGGGCTGCAATTGCAGAGCACATTCCTGGTTTTAAACATGGTCATCCTGTGGGTACACAAATTGTCTCTCCCAGACAACACCATAGTTAAAAGGCTGCTTCTGAATTCATCGCTTTTTCATGTCATCAACCCAGCCACACATTTCATTGCTCTTCATTCTGTCCCTGCATCACGGCTGCTATGCAATGCTGAGTATAATCACACTATCAATGAGCTGTGAATGCAAACTAATAAACATAATTGGAACTGATGCACTCAGGCTGCAATCTCATCTTCCCTTCATACATTTTCCCAAGCTCAGAAGGTACAATGGTGGAACACAGCAATCAATAGCATTCACTTGCAGTGTTTCTGTTGCTAAATGAAGACACTAGGTCTGTGGGTCCCTAAAGGGCTTGTAATTCTTCTTGCCCACTTGAGAGCTCAGCAACAACATGCCCAGGGAAATGCGCTTCACACTTCTTGAGGGCTTCCCACGGAAACCCTTATCATGGGGCTCAACTTACCATGGTTGAGAACTCCGTCTTCTACCAGGACTTGCCACATGCCAACAGACTGTGTGCGGGAGTGAACGCATGGAGTCTGCTGCATCATCCAGTCCACCAGCTCTGTTCCCACACAGCATTGCCTAGGAGGAGATGGGATACGAAAGGTGGGAATCACCTTGTTGCAGAAGAAGGATGGGAGCTTGCTTTTGAAGGAGATCCTTCTAGAGAGCTTAGCACTCTTGCCTCAAAGAGGTCTCACAGCAAACAAAGTATCGCACGGTATAGCTCTGGCTTCTCCAGCTCTTCTGCAAACCAACAGAATCACTCAACTCACAAGATAGCTTCCTAAGGTTGGCTAAACGGAGGACCATCACAGGAGCAGCACCAGGGGAGAAGGAGGGATGCTAGAGGGGGAGGATTATCTGACAAGCTGGTCACAGGGTCTGAGAACATCTCAACTTGAGCTACTCTGGAAACTCTCAGTGTGAAGTGAAGGCAAAGCAAAGCTCTGACTTCCTTCACCTGAGCCTTGGGAGGAATGAGTTAATGTTTGTGAGACGCTCAGAGGTGCTCTGTGAAAGGCGCTGTGTAAGTGCAAAATTATATAGCACTTTATATTTTCAAGTAATACTACTGATCTTCCTCAGAGGGGTGTTGGGAGAAACAAGCAATTAGAGATGCAAATACCATTGAAAAAAAGTTCTATGTAATGAGCATTAGCTCTTCTACGCGCCTGTCACGTGAAGAGCTCCAAGTGCTCTCGGCTCTCTGTGCAGTCACACATTCACCCTCCACTTGCCTTGTGCGGCAAGGTGGTCAGGGTGGGCTAACTACAGGCGATAGTGAGGAGACATGTAACTCCACACTCATGTCAGGCAATACTGAACCCTGCAAGGAGTGAGAGGAGGATAGGTGTTGCAGCATGATGGGTCAACGTGGAAGGGAATCTAGAAGTCCTGAGGATGAATTTCCAGGGTGAGGAAAGACAGCAGAGTCACAGAGCCGCTGGCTGCCTGCAGCTGAATCTGAGTCATCCGAAGCCTCCCTCCATGGTTTTGTTTTTTCCACTGGAACCTCAAATTTATTTGCATTTTATACATTTTATATATTTCATTTATAAAAACATTCAAGATCCAACTGCAAGATTTCACAGATGAGAGGGGGAAAAAATAGGCCATGCTTAATTCAATATTTTAGAGAAATGCTCCTATGGGCAGTCAGATAGTGTCATCCCAGCCAGACAAGGCCTGCTGACGACTCTGAAAAATATGACCATGATTCACACTGGGACACTGCATCTCATAACACACCATGTGTGCGAGAGGCTGTAGTTAGAAAATGTTTGCATTAAGCAATGTGGGTGCCAAAATACAGATGTTCCTGGTAAGGAAGGTGGGAAGGATGCCACCATCTCTTGGGTGGGGACTGAGCCGAGAGTGAGCCCGGGGACCTCCTCACTAGTCTAAAGTGGAGGTGATTCCTGGTGCTTTGTCACTAACAGGTTTATGCAGGAGAGATATGAAAGCGCACCAGGTCTGACACTTATTAACTATAGGACTTAGATCATATCATTTCAACTCCGGGTCCTCAGTTTTCTCATCTTTAAAAGAAAGCAGGAGGAAAAGATCCAGTTCTAATATTCCAGGACCTCATGGGGGAGCTCCTGGTAAGTTCTGACTTGGGTCTGACCCTGGAATGTCTCACAGGAGGATGTACTGGGAATGTCATTAGATTTCCACGACTCCTACATCTTCACACTAGAGCTTCAGGGAGCAAAGAGACACCTATTTCTGAAACATGCAAACACAGGACCTGTCAAAATAGTCCTTTTGGAATGTGAGAGTTTGTTAATGGGAGTAGTTTCACAAAAGTATAATCAGTAATACTTTTTAATCAATTTCGTAAGTCCTTCCATTCAAGGATTTCCTTTACCAAAAATAGCATATCTGACAATGAGATGGGATTTGAGAAGCACTTTGGTAGTATCACTGACATAGTTCCTCCTAGGCCACACTCCACCACTTGAGTCAGATTGTTCAATATATCATATCAAGATGACCCTCGGGTTCATCTAGGGTATAAGCATCTGCAGTTAGAACATACAGCAAAGACACTGCTGGCAGCTGGTGGAATCACAGGTTCTCCCTCCACTGATGACCCCTTTAGAATCAACACACACCTCCAGTATAGTGATCATTGGAGGTGACACTACTTCCGGGGGCATGTCAACTCTCTAATAGTGCTGTGGAATGACAGAATGGGATGAGGAGATAGAGGGAGGGAAGACGGAAGATACAAGATCTTGGACAAGGAACACAAGTTGTCCTGCCGGAAAAGAAATCACGCCTTTGGCTTCCAGTTGAGTCAACGGGTTATTACCAACAGATCATTAATTTGTGTCATGGGGTGGAACAGACATAACACCTATAATACAGGGGTTTAAAATCTTACTATGGAACAAGAAAGAGACTATGATTTCTGACTTCTAGTTTCCATTACTTGACACCAAAGATGACATATTTTAATGGAATTTTCCTAGTGCAAGTCAACACTTGGGAAAGCATTATCACATCTTAAGTTAAGGGAAAAGATAATAAATTTTTTGGAAGAAAAATATTCTTTAGCCATACTGGATTTGAAGTCCACTTAATGAGTTATAGTTTGAACTCTCTCTGGGGACATGAGACAGTTTTTTTTTTTTTTTTTTTTTTTTTTAAATGACAGCAGGGACTATAACCTCCAAAAAGAATGAAGAATCAGAGCTGGAGGAGAATACTTCCCCATGTAATCACCCAAAATATTAACTAGTAAATATCAACATTAACAGGGCTAGATGAGATGAACAATCTGTTTTAAGAGGTGGAGTGTGTCCTAGCAGGTATTGTGTCAGTGATAAGTCCAAAGTGCTTCTCAAACCCCATCTCATTGTCAAAAGTCTATCAAAGAGAGATCATCTAAATCAACTGATAAACTGTCAGTTTTGGTGCTATATCCTATTCATGACAAATGCAAGCAGAAAGAGTGCTAGTTTGCAGAAAATGCAGAAAGACTGACCTGAAGAGGGAGCATTTGCAATATTTTTACAACTCTGTCATTAGGGACGAGATGACCGTGATGTACATATACTTGGAGGCAGGTATAATTTTTCAGGTTCTATCACAGTTGATAGCCACTGAAAGAAAAATGTCTTATACGATGACTTTAAAATTTGTATTAGAGCTTTTCACTGTGTCTTATGAATCAAATATGTCTTGTGAATCAAATGGGTTTTCACTCTGCTAAGTCTGATGGGTTCTGAGGTCATGTCTAGGTGAAATCAAAAAGAGAGTTTGCCTGCTTGCTGAAAGAGGGCTGTGCTTCTGAACTATGAATGCAGGGAGTTGAGAGTGAAGGCCTGTATGTTATATATAGGCCATTCTAATTCTTAAATACTTAATGAATTGAGAAAGCGGAATGTTAAAGGTTAGATATGAATCCTTAGCTAATCCACCATGGACTAGTCATCTAGGTTCAATGAAATCATGCAATCCCAGTCTCTCTCTATCACTTCTTAACTTTATGGATAGCTATATTGAGTCCTTTCTTGGTATGATTATAGAGTTAACACAGCGGTGCACCTTACTCTAGTGCACACTAGAATGACATTCTACACTAGAAACTCCACAAAGGACATTCACTGCTGTAATATCAGGGCCTGGCTCACATACTGCCTGGTGCCCAGGTGCTTAAAACATTTGTGAATGAATGAATGAAAACATCACTGGATCTGGAAACTGACTGACCTTGGTTTACATTCTTGCTCTACCATGCACTAGTTTTGTGACTTGGACAAGGAAAATTATTTAATCTCCCTGAGGTTTAGTTGTGTCATCTAGGGGGAAAATGGCCATACATCTACCCAGTAGGTGTGTGAAGATGAAATAAGGAGACATGGAAAGCAGCTTGGTTCAAGGCTTCAAGAATAAATAAATGCTCAGTAAAAGTTCATTAAACCTGACCTAAATCTACCAGTTTTCCTCAAAGACACTAACAGAAATAGAAGAATTTTCTTCTCAGTTATTCATCACAATTAAACCAATGTCCAAGTAAATTAGTTTAGGAGTAATTGCTCGAAACAGTAAGGATAACTAAAGTTAATCAAGGATTCAAGATAAGCTTAGACTTTCCAGAACCTGGAGAAATATAAATAGTATTGCCTCATAGATATAAATGGAAGCTGTTCCAATTTCACTAAACATGACTTTGAGGAGGGCAGAGCCTTTAGAGTTATTGTACATACCTGTATGTCTTTAGGTGATACTTTCTATCTCTTATCATATGAGGTGCTCTAGAAAGAATAGCATTTCGTAAGATTTTTCCAGCCCTGAGGATCTTCTCTGAAGGGACCTGAATTTTAATCGGGTAGAAGGAGGGGAAGAGAAATAAGGAGACATTATAGAAGGGAACAAAGAGCTGTTTCCTTAAGCTTGCCCTTAATCCTTAAATCATTTTCCAATATGACTCTGGCTTGAAAAATACAACTCACTCATACATTCACATTGTTCACTTATGTGATGTGTCACTGTTTTGTGTTGAGAATCCAGAAACACTGAATGTTTACTGTCTTTAGGAAATGTATCCGAGTTTTCCTGAGCTGATGCTCTGAGACATGGACACCTCCAGTGGTTACTCAGGAATCCAGCTCTGAAGGCTCATCAACCCACCTACAGCCCATTACCTTGGTAATGGTGTTAGCAGGACGAAGAGGAACGTGAGGTTCAATGAGAGGTGTCTGAAAAATAAAATGTTAAAGCAAAAGAAAATTAAACAAAAAGTTCACTAAAGAAAATTATGGGTTGGGGGATAATAAGGACCATCCATTTTCATAAAACTCAAAATAGAATTTAAAAAGCAAGAGATAATGTCTGCCTAAGGAACTTGAATGCATAGGCATTCAAAGGGCAAAATTAGGCCATTCAATTTGCCAAGACTTAAATATAAATTATCAAAAATGAGAAAACCAAACAGACAGGAATGATTAGATGTTTGTAGGCTTAATGAGAAGGGCATCAATATCTACTCAAAGCATAACAAACATCAGAGAAGAGGAAAAGAAAAACAAGGTAAACATGAACAGAGATTAAAATGATTTATCTTATGGGATAGGGATAAGGTATTGATTTAGAATGGAAATGAGCTGTTTTATCCCCTCTCACTTGGTTGAGTCTCTTCCTGCAATTTGTATTTTAAGAAAAAGGTTTTAATTCATAAATGGTGGTATAACCCACTAAAGTGCCTCAGGCCCACTGGGGCAGATCACGCACTGTCTTCCTTCCTTTGGTTCATGTATACTCTTCAGGATTCTATGTCCATCAGAACAGTTCTAGGATCTAGCCCCTGTTGCTATCCACATCCTTCAGATGAAGGTCCTGGGATTTGGATTCCCAGGGAAAATGGCTTGCTACACAGCTACGCAGTTGAGTTCCCTAGTCCCATCCAAATCACCATCTTTCTGAAAGTCAACTCCAAGTGGAGGGGAATAATATATTCAACCTGTTGGCACAACCATGAATACTATACCACAAACACAAAGCATCCAAGCTTTGACTTATTTGATTAAGTCACTTCCAGAAGGTACAGAAAGATGGCAGGTTTACTGTAGGTAAAGTAATCCTCCTCCTCTGCAAGACATCCATGTTCTTATCCCAAAACCTATGACTAGGTTAGAGTACTTAGGAAAGGGACGGTGACCGTGCAATTAAGAGTCATGACAGGGAGATTATCTTAATGTGTTCAGATGGTCCCAAGATGAAATGATGGAAGAGAGAGGCAGATGAGTTACAACCAGAGAGAAAGCAGTGTGAGTAGGATACAGCCTGCTTTGAAAATGGAAGCGCATGAGTCAAGGACAAGGACACAATCTCTACAAGAAGAAAAAGGTAAAGCAATTGATGAGACTTCCCCCGGAGCCTGAGGAGACACAACCTTATCAACACCTTGATTTCAGCTCATTGAGGCCCACAGCAGACTTCTAAACGATAGCACTGGCAGGTTACTAATTTGTGTTGTTTTAAGCCACTAGGCTTCTGGTAATTTGTTAGAACAGTCACAGAAATTAAAACAGAAATTATTACACTTTATACTGAAACTCCACCCTTTTCAAATCGAAGCCATTACAGGGAAAATAAATTGGTAGACTTTCCCTCTGGTGCTAATTAAAAAATATAACCCATGGGGGACATAACGGTTGATTAATTTAAAATATTTCATGTGTCTAGATAGAAATGTACATGCATAAGCATCCATCTCCCTTTTTATCAACAATAAATCTCAGGTGGGTTACTGCTTTAAAATAAGAAGAGCACTATGAAGAAAGGAAGAGAATATTAAGCGTTAGAAAGTCATAGATGAGGTACAGACTCACTGAGAATGACTACAAACTCACTAGACTCATCACCTCACTATCGTCTAGTAGGTTTTTTTGCCCTCTTGAGATCACTTCAAGCCCAGATATTCTAGCACATACTGTTTTAACCAGCATAGACCAAGAAATACCAATGTGGCCCAGTTCAATAGTTTTACACAGCCATCAGCTTTGCCCTGAAACAGCCCCTGCTCCCTCAGGGAGACCTGCCAGTGGAAGGGGACTGGCACTTGCAAACCCCTGTGCTTGCATCACCTCCTTAAAGAAGACAAAGGAGAATTCTACAATGCTGGATCACCTGGGAAAATTTCAAAATTTTGTGAGTTTCAAGTACTCAAACATCCTGCCTCTGGACACTGAACAAACAGATTTATATGTCCAGTTATACGCTTGGTTATAGATCTAAGTTGCAGAAAGAATTGCAGGTATGTGTGGTCTAGGGTAAATGACCATGGGGTTAGCTTCTGAAGGAATCTTTTTTCTTTCCTGTGTGTGTGTGTGTGTGTGTGTGTGTGTGTGTGTGTGGTGGTGGGGGGGAATCTTATTTTGCAATAGTCTAGAGAGGCTGGCTGAGCTAGGGATCAAAAAGCACATGCTTCAAAGCTTATCATTTTTACTAAAATACTGACTATTTCTTCCTCCACCTCCTAGAGTCTTCCTTACTTGAAGTGAGAAAAGGGAAATTTGAATTCCAGTCTGTTGTTGCATTTATTTATTGACATATCCTCTTATTATTTGTTTAACCCATGGAAATTTTGCTTTCCCAAGAGCTCAGTGAGATCAGGCACGTTATCAGCAGCTTTTACTTTTGTCCTGCACTTTTCTGCACACAATATGCCTGTGTTAAATTCTTGAATTAAATTGGATGCGGAATTATCTGACTTTTTGTTGCACTGGGTTGCCAGAGTTCTGCCATGAGCTTTGTGTTCCAATCTAGCTTGTTATTCTTACCTCTTGGCTTAAAAATGTTGTGCCTTGCAAAAGGCTCTGAGAGCAAATACTCCCATGAAAAAAAAATTACTCCCTTTCAAAAGGGCCTGAAAATGGTTTTTCACGAGGCCTATTACAGAGCCTCATACCTCATTATAATCTACTGGGGAGTTATTGTGCCTCTTGTAATGAAGACTAAATTCATATTTTTCATCTCCTGATTAGTATTTCTGCATTGGCTCTGGTGCCAAAAAGAATATTTCCCCTTACTGTTTTTCCTTTTGAGTAGTAATATAAACATAATAAAAAAGCAGTAGAATGCATCCCTTCTCCAGAAACAAACAAAAACCAATTATGGTCAATCCTGAGGGAAGTCTTCAGGAGAGAAAGCCAAGAAAAGCAGAGAGAAAGCTGAATACCCCTGCCTTTATCTGTTCTCGCTGCTTAGCTTTTTAGGAGCACATTTTCACAGCCCAGTTTGGATTCTTTCATGCCCAGGTAGGAAGGGAGAATTTTTATCAACACATGATTGATGTGTTGAAATGTATGGAATTTAATAAGAGGGGCGTTATTCCTTCTAGGGCTCATCTGTGATAGGTATTTTCTGGCTACAGGTGAAATCACGGGCAGCCCAGAAACACACAGGCAAGCACGAGTGAAGGCTCACCTCATGCTCACCTGGGGGGTCCCCTTTCCATGCCTCGAGCCCAACAGAAAATGTCTAGGAATAGGGTGCAAGGACCCTCGTGGTACATGTGGCAGCCCTGCCCCCTTTCTATGGCCACTCGCCCACCCAGTTGTGCCAGTCCTGGACTGTTTGTTCTCAGGCAATTCTTTGCTCATCCCCTGTGCTGCAGAGTGTTTCCCAGGCTTCTCTGGCCGTGGTTTTGCTCATACAGCTGATTTTCTTGCTTGATCATCTCACTAATATTACCATACTTCTCCTTTTCTACTACTGTTTAATCCTTTAGAAGAGGAAAATTTCCCCTTATTTCTCTGGTCTCTGGCTGGCGTGGGAGGCAAGCAGCATCTCCATCCAGGAAAATGCTTCTAGGACCTGGGGGCACCCCAGGGTACCAGCTTCCAAAGGCTACTAGGCTCAGGCTCTGGCAAGGCCTCCCTTGCCCTCTGTCCTTCTACCTGAGGATTTCCTGCTCAGATAATGTTTGGGTTCCCCCTCCCAGTCACCTATTGAACTTTTCAACCCTTTCCCCACCTATAAAGTCAATTCCCAGCATTCATTCCCTCAGTGGGAACTACTGGGAGTGACTTCCATTTTCCTGCTCAGTTTCTGACTGCTACCTAATGTCTCTGGTAGATTTGTCTTAGCCCTGGTTGGGCAGTTCCTTGAAGCCAAATGTTTTATTGTCACAGTGTTGTTTTTCAAAAACTTCATTTGGAGCAAGTATGATGGAGATACTGTCATCTGGGGAGGTCACTGTGAATATTTATTGCTGGAAACTGGAAACTTTTCTCTACCAACTTTAATCAATCAGACTGCAAGCTGCACCAAAGTGAGCTAAAGCATCTCCAGAAGAAAAGCACAGGCAGCATGTGTCACTGGGTAGGTCGTGGTATAGACACTGGATTGAGATAGACTTGGATTCCACGCCCAGCCCTCAAGGTATTAGCTGGGTGAACTTAGTCCCCACATGCGTCTAGCCTTAGATTCCATGATGTAAATGAGAGAAGTGATAAAATCAGGAGATAACAGGTGGGAGCCAACACGTGTGAAGAGTCTGATGGGAAATGCTGTCTTGCCTGGAGGGCTCCTTTTCTTATTTAGATTCTCACTCACATCACCAAGCTGCTTCTTTCCATCTCCTGTTTAGTCGCATCATTAATATGCAGAAAATGAAATTACTTTCTGCATTTTTCTAAAGGGCCACTTAAGTGAAGTTCTTAAAAGGCACTTTCCTTGAAAATGAGGGAAAATATGCAGACACAAAAGCAAAAAAGTCACTCTCACAACAGAGGCTTTCCTGAACAGGCATTGGCCAGGGACTTTCCCAGGGGCCTGACCTTCCTGTCACAAAGGCCTGTTTCACTACAT